GCGCTGAGCCCTGGGGCCCGTCCTCTTCCCTGCTCTCTGGCGGTGACGTTGGTCCCGATTTCCAACTGCTCCCCTCTGAGTCCCTCTGGCTCTATCTTCCTGGGGTGTCCCCCTAGGCTCCCCCCTTGCCCTGGCCACTGGTGCTCCTTTCTGTGAATCTTCTGATTCACTGGAAAGACTCGGAGATCTCGGGTCGTCGTCATCACTCATCTTTTCTTCTGCCTCCTCCCCCTCGCTCTCTGTTTCCTCCCTTGCCCTTGCCTCTGCTCCTGAACCCCTGACAGATATGTTAAAAAATTAATAAAAATTAATATTTAAAAAAACAAAAATAACCTCTGGGTCAGGGGTAGGCAACCTAAGGCCCGTGGGCCAGATGTGGCCCAATTGCCTTGTCAATCCAGCCCAAGGACGGTCCAGGAATCAGCATGATTTTACATGAGTAGAATGCGTGCTTTTATTTAAAATGCATCTCTGGGTTATTTGTGGGGCATAGGAATTTGTTCATCCCCCCCCCCCAAAAAAATATCGTCCAGCCCACCACATGGTCTGAGGGATGGTGGACGAGCCCACGGCTGAAAAAGGTTGCTGACCCTGCTCTGGGTATTGACCCTGCTCTGGGTATTGAAAGGTAGAGTGCCCCCAGGCAAGGAGGTTCCATTTGACTATGTTGGCTGAAAGAAGAGTCCTCTGTCTTCCTCCAAGAATTTGTCTAAAGCTATCTAAGATGTTTTACTGTTGTTTTATGATTTGCTGGAAGCCTCCCAGAGTGGCTGGGGCATATAAGAGCATATAATTCAATCTATCATCTATCTATCTATCTATCATCTATCTATCTATCTATCTATCTATCTATCTATCTATCTATCTATCTATCTATTATCTATCTATCTATCATCTATCTATCTATCTATCATCTATCTATCTATCATCTATCTATCTATCTATCTATCTATCTATCTATCTATCTATCATCTATCTATCTATCTATCTATCTATCATCTATCTATCTATCTATCCTTTAGCTTGCGGCTAAACTAGGAGTAACCTCCAAGCAGAGCATGAAGACAAATATCTATATTCTGCCATTGCTCCCCAGCAATGGGTATTCACAGGTAGACTATCCATGGACATGGAGGTTCTATTTGACCTAAAGCCATCAAACATCCTTTCCCCTCTTCTTTGGACTTCTCATACGGACAGAGTGGAAGTAAAATCTGCATGTATAGGCACTTATGAAGAACTTGTATTGTAACAATAGTCTTTTCTAGGTTTTTAGATGGCTCTGTTTTATCTGTGTGAGCTGCCTTGAGTCCTGGACTGGGGGAAAAACCGTATTTTTCGCTCCATAAGACACACTTTTTTCCTCCTAAAAAGTAAGGGGAAATGTCTGTGCGTCTTAGGAAGCGAATGCTGTGTGGAGGAGGGACGTGTAAGCGGTTCCTGTCCGCTTTGCTGCTTTAAAGTGAGCCGCGGAGGATGGACGGACGGACGGATGGGAGCCATGGCTCCCCTTCATTCAGAATATTTTTTTTCGCGTTTTCCTCCTCTAAAAACTAGGTGTGTCTTATGGTCAGGTGCGTCTTATGGAGCGAAAAATACGGAAAATACATACATACTGTATATACAACAACAACAACAAGCTGTTGGCATCGTTTACAAGGAAGGTGCAGGGCCCAAGTCAGGTGTAGGTCTAGTTTGCCTGATCAAATCCTGGCTCAATCCGTCAAGATATGCATGATTTTCATGCCCTTGTCTTTGCTCTTGGGTTTAATGGGAGCAACAGTACCTCTTTAGCCAGTTTGATGCCGTGTTCGTAAGACAGGGGCTTCTCCTTCATGTAGAGCAATCGAGTCAAGGTTTTTGGATCATCTCGTAGGTCAATCTAGGAGTTTAAAGCAGATATAAAGTTTAAGGCTTGTTCAAAAAAGAAAAGAAAAAAGGGCTATCTAAGGTCTCTAACTGTTGGAGATGCAACAGAGATAATGCTTCTCTAAAGAAGTGTTTTTTCATTGTCCTATATTGAAAGATGTTTTGGCAGAAGGTAACTGAAACTATAGATAGGGATGCGGGTGGCGCTGTGGGTTAAACCACAGAGCCTAGGACTTGCCGATCAGAAGGTTGGCGGTTCGAATCCCCATGACGGGGTGAGCTCCCGTTGCTCGGTCCCTGCTCCTGCTGACCTAGCAGTTTGAAAGCACGTCAAAGTGCAAGTAGATAAATAGGTACCGCTCTGGCGGGAAGGTAAACGGCGTCTGTGTGCACTGCTCTGGTTCACCAGAAGTGGCTCAGTCATGCTGGCCACATGACCTGGAAGCTGTCTGCAGACAAACGCCGGCTCCCTTGGCCAATAAAGCAAGATGAGCGCCTCAACCCCAGAGTCGGCCATGAAAGGACCCAATGGTCAGGGTTCCTTTACCTTTACCTTTAACTGTTTATCAACAGAACTGTACAGAGCAACCTTACATTTACAGAGCAAAATATCCTCTTGAATTATATACTCAGCACATGGAACCTTACAAAAGGACAATAGGAGCGGACTCTCTGTGCCCTTACCACGGCAAAAAGACTGATATTGATGAATTGGAATAATAAAAATGCGGCTTCCTTCTACGAGGGCATTGAAGACTTACACATACAAGCTTGGAACATATGAACAACTTGCATATAAATGCAGACTTGCGATGGACAAATTCAATGATATTTGGAATCCATTCTTACAAATACTGCAATAGGTTCAGATCTGGTGAAGTACAATTAACAACCTTGTAAAATATACAGCTTTGGGCTCCCCCTCTTTGTTTTCCCTTCTGCCTGGGTTCTGTTTCTTTTTTTCATTTTCTCTTTTCTGTTTGCGTCTCTTGGCACACATATAGTTATGTATTTTTGAACTTTCAATAAAGATGTTAGTCTATCCCCCCACCCCAAAGTTAAAGGCTTGTTCACAGCTATGGCATCCCTCACTGAGCAGGAACCTTCTGCCTAGTCCTATCTGTCTGCCCATCATCACACTATTTGGCATTGTAATGGTTACAAAGTGAGACTATCATGTGGCAGCTGCAATTGTAGAATCGGAGAGCTGAAGAAGAAGAAGAAGAAGAAGAAGAAGAAGAAGAAGAAGAAGAAGAAGAAGAATTTGGATTTGATATCCCCCTTTATCACTACCCGAAGGAGTCTCAAAGCAGCTAACATTCTCCTTTCCCTTCCTCCCCCACAACAAACACTCTGTGAGGTGAGTGGGGCTGAGAGACTTCAGAGAAGTGTGACTAGCCCATAGCTGTCAACCGTCCCTTATTTGGTGGGAAACTCCCTTATCCCAGTGCCGTGTCCCACTGCTGTCCCTTATTGATGATGTCCCTTAAATTTCCCAGGTTTTAAAGGAAGCAGCTCCTCTCCCTCCCTGCTGGCCAGGGAGGAGGGAGGCTCCAATTGTGTTGCTTATTGCTCACCCAATAAGGAGTCTAAGAACGACTGGGGGGTGGTGCTTGCATGCCTTGTGCCGATCAAATTGGCCGTGTTGCTGGGGACTCGCCTTTGCTCAGCGCTTCCCAGCGGAGAGGTGACAGTGATTTTCCTTGCTGCATCCCCTTTGCTGGGTTGCTGCGCTGTGGAAACCACCGTTTGAGGCTTCGTTTGGCTGCTGGGTGGGCTTTCTGCCTTTGGCTCGGAGGGGCTCAGAAGTTGAACATACCTGTGTCCGAAAAATCCCTTATTTTGGCTGCTGATCCCTTATTTTCGAGGCTGCTGGTCCCTTATTTTCAAATTTGTAAGTTGACAGCTATGGACTAGCCCAAGGTCACCCAGCAGCTGCATGTGGAGGAGCAGAGACGTGAACCCGGTTCACCAGATTATGAGTCCACCGCTCTTAACCACTACACCACACTGGATCTAGTCCAGCCCCCTGCAATGCAGGAATCTTTTGCCCAACATGGGATTCGAACCGACGACCCTCATGCTCTACCGACTGAGCTTTTCCAGTTGGCTGAGTTAGTGTGAACATGCCCGAGACCAGTGTTTTGCAGACTCCCCAGCCATCCTTTACCTGTGTTCCTATCAGAACATAAGGCACATGGGGCATGCAGACTTTCAGTTCCGGCACCCATTCCTCCTGGACGTTGTGGTATGAGGCAGGGTTCACCACGGAGAAACAGATCAAAAACACGTCCGTGTTGGGGTAAGAGAGAGGCCTGAGCTGGTTGTAGTCCTCCTGCCAGACAGCAAAAGAATTTAAATGAGAGCATTACAACAGCAGTGAAATGGTTATTTGGAGCAGCAAACTAGATGTCCTTTCTGATTCCTCCCAATTCTTTGATTCTAAGCATCCACACAACCGTTTTTGCACGTGATAAAGTCAAAATTTATTGAGTTGCCTAGGTGTTTTCTTATTAGCTTTCAGGGCCAGGAGCAGGCAGTTCACTAAACATTAAGAAGAAGTTTCTGACAGCAAGAGCTGTTTGAAATACCGTATTTTTTGCTCTATAAGACTCACTTTTTCCCTCCTAAAAAGTAAGGGGAAATGTGTGCGCGTCTTATGGAGTGAATGCAGGCTGCGCAGCTATCCCAGAAGCCAGAACAGCAAGAGGGATTGCTGCTTTCACTGTGCAGTGATCTCTCTTGCTGTTCTGGCTTCTGAGATTCAGAATATTTTTTCTTGTTTCCCTCCTCCAAAAACTAGGTGCGTCTTGTGGTCTGGTGCGTCTTATAGAGCGAAAAATACGGTAAATACTACTTTGGGGCAGTGCTATTTTGCTAATCTAGAACTCGCCATGAATGCCTCCCTTGTTCTCTTAGAAAAAGCCATGCTTTGGGGGAAAAATGTAAAATTCTCAGGCGGTGAGATTATTTTAAACCATATACCAACCGTAGGGTTTGACTGTCTGCCAAAAGACTGATATTGATTCATTGGAAAGATAAAACCATGGCCCTCTTTGAGCGATGGATAGAAAATATGACAATGCTGGCAATGTACAAATTAGTAATTTTTCATTCGTTGTAATAACTGTATTACTTATATACCTGTATTCCATATTGTATCACAATTCCAAGTATTTTTCTTTAATTTTTCTTTTCGTTTTGTTCTTTTCCTTTTCCTTTATTTTCTCATTGAATTTTTTAAATAAATTATTATTATTATTATTATTAACATAGGTTGGATGGCCATCTGTCAGGGATTCTTTACCGTACACTTTTTGATGTGGCGAACTGCAAAACAGATAGCTTAGAGTGACCACGAGATGGCACTAGATTCTCGCAAGAAGGTTCACAACAAAGCCTTTTGAGTTTCCGAACAATATTTGCTTCGGAGAGGTGAAGCTTGGGGCACCATTAAGAATGTCAGAAAGAGAGCTGGAGACATGGAATGCGACATCAACGCTTGACTCTGAGATAATTGGCTGTCATGACACTAGGTTGGGTAATTCACTTGGACTCTTGTGCCGAGGGCAAAATCCCAGGGGAGATGGGGAGGCGAGACAGAGGCCCCTGCCGGCCGTCCAAGTGTCCCTATTTTCCAGGGACAGTCCCCGATTTACCGAAGCCGCCTCGGTTTCTGATTTGATCCTGGAATACGCCGTTTTTCCTTATTTTCATCAGAGGGGATGTCTCTATTTTCATCTGAGAAAAGTTGGAAGATAAGGAATAGGATGTCCTTATTCTCATTGGAGGGACGCGGGTGGCACTGTGGGTTAAACCACAGAGCCTACGACTTGCCGATCAGATGGTCGGTGGTTCGAATCCCCGTGACGGGGTGAGCTCATGCTGCTCGGTCCCTGCTCCTGCCAACCTAGCAGTTTGAAAGCACGTCAAAGTGCAAGTAGATAAATAGGTACTGCTCTGGTGGGAAGGTAAACGGTGTTTCCATGCACTGCTCTGGTTCTCCAGAAGCAGCTTAGTCATGCTGGCCACATGACCTAGAAGCTGTACGCCGGCTCCCTCAGCCAATAAAGCGAGATGAGCGCCGCAACCCCAGAGTCGGCCACGACTGTACCTAATGGTCAGGGCTCCATTTACCTTTTTATTTTCATTGGAGAAATGTTGGGGGAGGGGGTGGGTTATGACCCTGTTTTCATGGTAAGCTGCTGGCAGTATTGCATAATCATTTCCAGAGGTGTGGCCATGCTTAGTTTTTTTGCAGCAAAACAAAGATAGGCTTCTGTACTGTGCAATCCTATGCACGTTTGCTGAGAAGTAATTCAGCAAGGCTTATTCTCAGATATGTAAGAGTAAGGGGCAGAGGCCCTAGCTCAGTGTTAGGGCATTTGCTTGGCATGTAGAAGGTCCCAGGTTCAAACCCTGGCGTCTGCAAGAAGGGCTGGAAAATGCCCTCCTGCCTGAAACTCTGGACAGCTGCTGCCAGTCAGTGTAGACAATATTCAGCCAGAGGGATCAATATGCTGACTCAGCACTAGGCAGCCTCCTACGTGCATATAGAGTTTCAACTTCAATGTGACATAAGTTACAGGCATCTGATGAAGCAGACTCTAGTCCATGAAACCTCACGCTAGGGTTGCCATACGTCCAGGATTTCCCAGACATACCAGGAATACTGCAGTCGGCAGCAGTGCGGAAATCGGCATCATGAAAATCCGGACAAATGGCAATCCATATCAGCAGTCTCGTTTTTGCCATCTTTCCTCAAAAATTTTGCTCAACAACTTTTCGCCCCTACCAAAAAAGCTAAATAACTCTGCCCCAAAAAAATCTAAACAACTTTTGTGCCCGGATTATCACTTTTTAAAATATGGTAGCCCTACCTTATGCTGTAATAAATTTGTTAGTTTTTCTTTTTCTCATATCATTTTAATTTCTTAAATGAATATCACATGCACAATGCAAACTCTAAATTAGTTAGAACATCATATAATGCAACATAATCCTATGATGTCTTTTATCATCAAATGTATGTTATAATAAATTGGTTAGTCTTCAAAGTGCTGCAAGGCTTTTTGTACCATGTGTCTGTGTGTATGAAGTGACTCTTGTGCAAGTCACCAAAAATGAAAAGCTTACATTTTTGCCTGCCTTAAGGAACAAAGAAGAACCACAAAATGTTCTTTGTGAGAAGAACAGCGGCATCCAAGATAGACATAACGTGCAGAAATGACAGTAGATTACCTGTCCTGCAGTGTCATAAAGTCCAAGCAAATGCTGTCTGCCTCCGACTGTCACAGTCACTATAAAAAAAAGAGAAAACAGAAATATATTACCGGAACCTGGTTGGATCAGAATAAGGGCCCATGAAAATATTGGGCTTTTTTTCAGTTTGGAGCAGTGACCGCTCCCCGCTTAAAACGGGGGGTGCCCTTTGCGTGGACGCGCACAGCCCCTAGATCTGGAGCTGCTCCAACAGCATAGGCTTGGTTTGCCTTCCCTCAGGTGGGATACCTGGAGGTCTCCGCCTACCTCAGTCAGTTGTCCAATCCCACCTGGGGGAAGCGTTGCCAAGGAGACCAGGCCAGGTAGGGGAGGGATTACCTGCCCACACAATAGAGGGAGGATCTTACCTGGGAATCCTCACTTGGCTTCAGAGCTTCTCCCACCCTACCCACCCTCAGTTAATGTCTTATTTGCAGGTTAACTTTTCTTCACAGGTTTTGCAGGTTAACTTTTCTTCACAGGTATGCGGGCGCTGCAACGTTAAGGTTGCTGTTAAAGGGCCGGAAAGGAATTTCCCTGCACTGGCAGGTTTCGCCTTTCCCGTAGCAAAACGTCACAACTTTGGCGGTATCAGGCCTTGGGCGGAATCCTTTAGTCCATCTTCCTCTTTGCGGCGGCGATACCAGGGTTCCCCGTTAAAGGGGTTTCTGAAGGGAGGCTTTGACTGTACGCCGAAAGGTCGTCATTGCTCTCCCTGCGGCGGCGGCGTAACGGGGGCGGCTATCTCTGCTTGAACATATGCTCTCCAGAGACGGCCCATCCCCACACAAACACTGGATAACCCTGATGCTCCCTAGGTCCCCAGCCGGGGACCTAGGGAGGGAGAACGCCCAATGCCTGAGCCAAGGTCTACCCACATTTGAAATTTAATAAAGTTGTGGCCAATTTAACCCCATAGCACGTTGTCTTGAGTCGTTATTCCACATGACGGGGGGACCGCGCGGGATCTGGGGACTCCGCCTGCCCACGCAAAGGTTCCCAAACTTATTTGGTCTACCACCACCTTTTCAGGGGGGGGGGAATTAGTGCCCCCCGGAAATCCTGCCAGCTCAGTCCAATCCGCTCGAGGGTCGGGGTCGGTGCCACAGTCCCCCTGCCATTGGTGAAATAGGCAGGCAAGCTGAGACCCGGTTCCCAGGCCTGGGTTCACCCAAAAGGGTTCAGCCAAGCCCAGGAAAACCCATCACCTCCAGCATGACTGCCAGATCCAGGGGAGGCGTTGTATGAATGGTTGTTTTTAAAATTCTTCTTTCTTTATGCTTCCACCACCCCCTTACTTTTATTCAACGCCCTCCCCCAATTGCACCCGAGGCTACTACCGCCCCACTGGATCGTCCCAGCGCCCCCCAGGGGGTGGTAGCGCCCACTTTGGGAAACACTGGTTTAGAGAAAAGATTGGCGTAAGAGCTTGACGTAGAGTAACATTAGACCTATCCCTGCCCATTAGGTAAAGGTAAAGGGACCTCTGACCATTAGGTCCAGTCATGGCCAACTCTGGGGTTGCGGTGCTCATCTCGCTTTATTGGCCGAGGGATCCGGCGTACAGCTTCTGGGTCATGTGGCCAGCATGACTAAGCCGCTTCTGGCGAACCAGAGCAGCGCACAGAAACGCCGTTTACCTTCCTGCCGGAGCGGTACCTATTTATCTACTTGCACTTTGACGTGCTTTCAAACTGCTAGGTTGGCAGGAGCTGGGACCGAGCAACGGGAGCTCACCCCGTCGCAGGGATTTGAACCGCCGACCTTCTGATCGGCAAATCCTAGGCTCTGTGGTTTAACCCACAGCACAGGACCCTAAATTTTGACACTGGAAGAGACAAGAGAGGGAGACAGGATAAGAAGGGAAGATGACGGATGGATGAAAGGAAGAGTAGCTGCATGGATTCAGGCTTAAATTTGGTTGGGATCCTCGCATGACAATGGACTCGTGTGATGTTTTGAAGGTGGAAGAAAAGCACCCACCAAACCAAATTAGACATCTGTTGCACTTAGCTCATCTTTTGTTATTCTAGCTCCAATGCGGAGATGAACTTCACAGGCTGGTGCTTTCGGGGTAGCAAGAGATCTAAGGAAGCTACGCAGGGTCAGGAAGAGACCCCCGGCTGGTGGGTACTCATCTCTAAGACCCCAGATCTAGGTTGCAACTCTACTCTACTGAGGGAGTGTTTGGGTTATGTCTGGGTTTGGTACATTCGGCATCCGTTTCCCCCTTCATCTTCTTTCTTTCCAGTGGAAGATAGTTTGCAATGTCTTGGTCCTTGCGTCAGAATCCACCATCTCAGTGAGAACAATGGGAGTTCGTTTTGGACAAAGCATGGCTATTCTTTTATGTGTTTATGTCTCCCAACACTCATCTATTGAAAATCTTGTTTAGTTTGTGTTATGCCCTTCCTCCCAGGAGTCCTGGGAAGTATAAACAGTCTTCTGAGCAGCCTCCCATTCAGGTGGTGGCCAAGAGCAAGCCTGCTCTGATCCAGAGATAAATAATTGCTCTTGCTTTACGTTATGTGATTCATCTGGCTGAATCAACATCCCCCCCCCACAAAGGGGCTCCAAGTAGTCCAGTGCATCATGGGAAGAGGGTGGGCTGAGAGGAAAGCAAAGATGATTATTTCCTCTATGAGGAACGGTTGCTGCGTTTGGGATGTTTTAGTTTAGAGACAAGGTGAGTTAGAAGCAACACGGTAGTAGTGGCAGACCCCTGACATTCACCCCATTTGTTGGGTGCTGGTGCCCAGTCTGCGCATTATGCACTGCTAAATGCCACCCCAATCTCTGAGCAGTGAGTGACTTCATAATAATAATAATAATAATAATAATAATAACAATAACAACAATTTAGTGTTTATACCCCACCCATCTGGCTGAGTTTCCCCAGCCACTCTGGGCGGCTTCCAATCAAGTGTTAAAAACAATACAGCATTAAATATTAAAAACTTCCCTAATCAGGGCTGCCTTCAGATGTCTTTTAAAGAGAAGATAGCTGCTTATTTCCTTCACATCTGAAGGGAGGGCATTCCACAGGGCGGGTGCCACTACCGAGAAGGCCCTCTGTCTGGTTTCATGAGTTCCAGGTGCTTACCAATAGTTTGGTTTCCATGGAATGAAGGTCAGGGGAGATGGTGGATATATGGATTTATTTCCACATATTTACAACCTGAGCTTAAGATGGAGGGGCTCACAGGAAGAAAGTATTTGAGGGGGCCGGCCCCCCACAAAGTTGATGGGCATTCCCATTCAAATGGTGTGTGTGCACTGCGTCATGTGATCGATTGTGCGAGGCGGGGCTTACCTCGGCCCCCACAATATTTTATTCAAGTTGGTGCCTGTCAGGATGCTGTCAGAGGCTCCCGGCTGGTTGCCCAGGAAAGTATAAAGACAAAGAAAAGTTTCTTACCGTCCCTTTTTATTTCAGTCTTTACACAGAGAGGCTATAGAACCCAGCCTTTTCGATAATGTCGTTGTGCGAGTGAATCTCTCCCACTTTCTCATTCATCAATCTCATCGTCTCTCCTACAGGTACTGTTGCATGCCCTCTGTTTTTGAGCTCTTTTCTCTCCTACTTTCAAGGCTCGTTGGGTTCTTGGTGGGGGGGTCTGAAATGCTTTCTAAAGACACTGTGTCTGTCAGCTGTCGTCCCCCCGTGCTTCCTCCTCCTCCTCTCCCATGATTTCCCAACTTCCCCCCTCATCTGCCTCTGAGCTGTGACCTCCCTCAAACCCCTGTTGTAAATCTAAACTGTCTTCCTCTTCCTCCTCCCTGGAAGGGTCAAGCTGGGAAGGCAGACTCCACCATTCCTCTTCTGCCCAGTCCCTGCCATCACCCCTGGCACAAAGCAAGGATGCCTCTGTCTCTGCTTCCAGCTCAGCTCTCACACAACCACCCCCTATCTCGCTATTTTCCTTCTGCCCACCCAACTTCTTTGGTTATGCTAATTGTGGTGCTTGTTTATGGAGAAAGCTAGAGAGTCCCAGAAAGACATCTACTTCTGCTTCATTGACTATGCAAAAGCCTTTGACTGTGCCGACCACAGCAAACTATGGCAAGTTCTTAAAGAAATGGGAGTGCCTGATCACCTCATCTGTCTCCTGAGAAATCTCTATGTGGGACAAGAAGCTACAGTTAGAACTGGATATGGAACAACTGAT